GCGGCGCGGGGCCCAGACCCATGACGACGGCGCCTGGAGGGCGAACGGAGCGAACGCCGCGCGCCGGAAACGCCCCCCCCCCCCCCCCCCCCGAGTCGGGCACCACATGGGCTGGAAGAGCGTCGGGCACGCCGCGTCCGTGGGCATCGGCACGCCCCGCGCGGGCAGCGCCACCTGCGTGCTGGCGCTGCTGCTGCTGCCCCCTGCTGCCCGCGCCGCTGCTCCCCCTGCCCCCCCCCCCCCCCCCGCGGGCCCTCTGTCACGCTGCGGGCCCCCGCCCCTGGCAATGGCTTGCCGCTCGCGTCCACCTTCCCAGCCTTGGTGTCGGCCTCGAGCTTCCTGCGCATCCTCTTGAAGCGGTTGGGCTTCCCGTGGTTAAATCACCCCTTGCCCGCGGCGGGGTTCGGAGCGCCCTTGGCCTTGGCCTTGCCTTCGGGGCCCTTGCCTTTCCCCTTGGAGCCCTGTCCTTTGCACTTAGGAGGCCTTGTCCCTGCCGTCGCTGACGGCCCCGATCACCACGGGGTCGTCGACGCCCTGCGCCCGCGTCCGCTCGACCAAGGCGAAGTTCAGGATCTCCGCCCGCAGCCGCTGGAACGCGCCCAGACGGGCGGCGTTGAGAATGAAGTGGCCCCAGACCTTCACGTTCTGCATGCCGCCCACCAGCGTCGAGATCTTGACGTCCTGGTCCAGCACCTTCCCTTTCTGCTCCTCGCAACGCCTGACGCCCCGCTCGGAGCTCCCGATCTCATTCGCGAGGTCGACGTTCGGATCCTCGCCGAGATCGCGGCGCAAAGTGCATGCCACTGCGCCATGGCGGACTCGCGCGTCCGGCTCGCGCTCCCAACACAACCGTCTCCAGGCCTCGGCGCCGTTGCCCTCCTCCACGTTGTGTAACAGGAGGTGGGCGTCGTCCGTCGTCGCCATCACCAGCATTCAGTACAGCTTGCGGCTCAAAACGGCCGTGGCCTCGTCGAGGTCGTGACCGTCCACGACCTGGGCTCCCATCGCCTCCGCGCGCTTGAAGAGCTCCGCCATGTTGGCATGCGCGGCGCAGGCGAAGGCGCGAAAGACGAGGCAGAACTCCCGCCACGCCTCGCGGCGACCTGAGAAGCTCGCCGGTTTCCCCAGCCACGGTCGCGCCGCCAAGGCGCTCCAATAGCGGCGGCTGCGGTGCCGCCGGGGGCGCCGCGCGAAGCTGCGCGAGTTCGGCCTGCGCCGCCTGCAAGCCTTGCTCCGCGGCCTGCCCGCACTGCTGCTGCCGCTGGAGTTCCTGGACCAGCTCCTGCTGCCTGGCCTCCATGGCCTGCAGCCGCTGGGCCAACTCCCCCATCGTTCCCGCCAGTCACGACGTTCTCGAGCGCCGATGGTGCGCCCGCCGCGTTTGCTGGGCATGCGCTGCCGCAGACCGCGGGGATACCGCAGGTCGCGGGGCCTCACCAGGCGCGGGGCTGACCGCAGCCTAGTGGCCTTCCCAAGCGCGGAGCCGTCCGTTGCCTAATTAGGTGGAAAACGGAAACAAACCACAAGTTCCGCTACCATGCGCGGGAATGAAACTCGCGGGAATGATCGCAGATGGGAAGTAAAAACTGGGGCGTTCTTCTCCTCCACGCTCGGATGTTTAAGCCAGACCGGCCGCGGGACCGGTTTCGCCGTTACCTGTCAATGTTATTGCCTGCACTGCTAACTACAGCACGCCCGGAATTAAAACTGGTATGGGCATGCTGCTCTACTATGTTTCGCATTGGGCTTCAATCACTACACATTTAGGTTTTGTAGCTCACCGGTGCCAAAACATTGTTCTCGAGACTTTCACGCCACGGATCGACTTGACTGCAGCGACCTGACGATATGGAACCGTGCCAGAGAACCATTGTTGGGCATCATATATCTAAAACGTATGCGCCACCCGCCCTCAATCCGTGACAAAGATATAAAAAATATGCGCGGCGATAAGGCGAGAACCACATTTTGAAAGCCAGCCGCCCTCAATCCGTGAAGTTCTTCTAATGATGAAAAAAAGTGCGCGGCGCCAAGGCGAGAGCCACATTTTGAAAATCACCCGCCTTCAATCCGTGACATCCTTCTAACGAGATAAAGGAAAGTGCGCGGCGCTCCACATTTTGAAAACCACCCGCCCTGAATCCGCGAAACTCTTCTAATGTTTTGAAACGAATGCGCGCGGCGCTAAGACGAAAGCCACATGTTGAAAACCACGCGCCCTCCATCTGTGAAACTGTTGCCTCTTTATAAGTTGCAGAGTCATAAGTAGTGAGAAAGTCTCAGGCGAAACGCCCGGTCCGCCCTAAAAGCTGGCCTCGGGGTGCGACAGGGAGAAAGAATTCATAAGGAATTGAAGGAGGAGGAGGAGGAGGAGGAGGGGGAGGAGGAGAAAGAGGAGAAGGACTGCCAGGGACAGCAAAAGACAGGCTCAGCGATTCCACTCCTGGCTCCACGACCGATCGGCGCGGCTTCCTCCCCCGACCGAAGACAAAAGCTCCAGGACGATTTGCTCGCACCGCGAGGCCCGAACACGACCCAGCCTGGCCTGCCAAGAGCACATCGAGAAACTCGACCGAAATCGACCCGGGCCGCACTTGCCGAAACCGACATCGGGCCAGGCTGGCCGAAGCCGCCATTGAGGGGGGAGGGCAGGAGGGGACTGGCTCAGGTTCGAAGTTCGAGGTCTTCCACGTTCTCGTCGGTTCTCGTCGGGTTTCCTCCTCCTCCTCCTCCTCCTCCTCCTCCTCCTCCTCCTGCTCCTCCTCCTCTTCCTCCTCCTCCTCCTCCTCCTCTTCCTCCACCTCCTCCACCTCCTCCTCCTCCTCCCCCTCCTCCTCCTCCTCCTCCTCCTCCTCCTCTTTCCCCTCCTCCTCGGTTCTCGTCGGGCTTCCAGCCTCGGTTACGTCCTCTCCAACGATGCGTGGGCCCCAGTGGTCCGGACCACTTCCCCAGGGCCGGGTTTTCGTCCTGTGTCGTGTTTTGACGCTTTCGAAGCCCGGCGAGGGCCCCCAGAGACCGAAAACGGCCAAAAACAGCCTGCTCCAACTTTTGGGGGAGCGTCGGATCTCTGGGATTGACGGGGAAGGACAGGAGGGGACCGGCTCAGGTTCGAGGCTCGAGGTCTGCCACGTCTTCCTCGTTCCTCGTCGAGTTTCCAGCCTCGGCTACAGTAGGGGCTCGACCGCAAGAAACCTTCCACAAGAAACCCAACCCCGAGACCCCAGGACGTCCGTTGACCTTTGGTGTGGGAGCGTCGCGCTTGCCGTCGCAAAACCCTCGAAACCCAAGAAGCCCAGGACACCCTGGAAACAAGCAGGGTGTTCCCTGGCGTGGGCCCCCGACCGCAGCTCCTCTCCAGCAGCTGCGCCTCGCCGAAAGCGCTCCAGGGGTGCCCAGAGCGCCGCGCGCGGCCGCTGCAGGCCCGAGCTAGCTGGCCCGAAGACCACCAGGGGACCTGCTCCGGGCGGGGAAACCGCCGCCCTGGAATCGACTGCAAATCGCAGGCAGAGAGAGAGAGAGAAGAGAGAGAGAGAGAGAGAGAGAGAGAGAGAGAAAGAGAGAGAGAGAGAGAGAGAGAGATCCCTGAGATCCTGGCGCTGCAATTTTCTCGCAGTGGGCGCTTTCGCTCCACTTCGGGCCCAGGGGCCCCCCAGCTCGGCACGGCTCGGAAGATGACGCAGAAATCGGGGATCTTCTGACCCGGGTCAAAACAGACCCGGGTCAGTCAGGCGCTGCAGGACCCTGCAAGACCCCTAACCCGGGTCAGCGCCCCTGGATCTGCAGGATCCTGCAAGATCGGGCGCTCTGAGCGACCCCCGCTTGCATCGACCCCCGTCTCTTGTCCGCATTCGTCGCCCGTGCGCCGCCCGTGCGTCGGCCGCCGAAAAGGCCAGCCGTCCTCTCGAACGTACACGTCGCCCTCGCAAGGGGGCAGTTTGGCGAGCCTCCAGACGTGATTTCTTGCAGTGCTGCTCGAAGATCGGCGAAGCGAAGCCGCACGCTCCGCGGCGGGGCGGGCTGCCGGGCCCCGTACCGGGCGATGTTTTTCTCCGTGAGCACGTCCGGCCCTGGCCTCGCCCGTGCGACACGGGGCCCGCGGGGCGCCGAGACGCCCCGACCTCTCCCGGGGGGCGCACGCTGGCCATCATCTCAGAGGGGGCTCCAGCCGCGGCGACGGGGGCTCTCCGGGGCGAGCGGCGGCATCGCCACCTCCGTACCCCATCCGCAGGAAGGGCACGGGTGCCGCTGGAGACAGGGGAAGCCAAGAAGGTACCGACACCGCCACTTTCTGGGCCTTTCCTGGGGCGCCTTCTGGCAAGAATTCCCGAGGAAAATCCAGCCGTGGCGACGCAGGCTCTCCAGGACGAGCACCGATATCAGTACCTGCCCCTCCTCCGAGAAACGGGCCCTGGACCCCGAGGCATTCCCCCAGGACTAAGTTCTTCATCCCGGACCGTTTTCTGACGGTCCCAAGGCCTGGGGAGGGCACCTGAGGCCCTGAAGCGGCGAGAAACCTCAGGACCCGTTTCCCTCAGGACCCGTTCCCTGACAACCCTGCCCGCGGCCCCAGAGGTCCCGACCCCGTCCCCAGGGGTAGTTCTGCGCTCTGGATTGAAGGGGCCCCAGGACACACAAATAACTACACACAAATCAAAACAATCCCCATATTTTCGTTCCCCATATTTTCTGGGCTTCTGTCTTCCCCCCCACTTCCCATATTTTCCCATTTTTTCCTGGGGATCGACGATTCATTGTGTCTGTGTGTATTTGTTCCCTCCTGAGGCGTCGGGGGCCGGCGTCGGGCCCCGGGGGCCGGCATCGGGCCCCGGAGGCGGGCCTCGAGGAACAGCGCCGGGGTCCAAAGAGAAGACAGCTCGTCGGCGACAGCCGGGCTTCCTTCGCGGCGGCTCCCCCGAGACGTCGGCGCGGAGCCTGCCCGGTCGGATCGACGCGGGCCCGCAGCGCGCCCGCCTGCACCCACCCCTGGCAAAAAGGGGCTCCCCGTGAGCAGCGCCGCCGTCTGCGCCTGGTGGGCCGCGCGCCGCTGCAGCTCCGAGGCGCTGCGCGCCTCCTGGCGCCGCAGAGGGGAAAGGGGGGGGGGGATGCGTCAGCATCGAAGGGAGGGGTAGGGGGGGAAGGAGGAGGGAGGAGGAGGGAGGAGGAGGAGGAGGAGGAGGAGGAGGAGGAGGAGGAGGACGACGACGAAGAGGTGGAGGAGGAGGAGATGAGATGAGATGATACGAGACGGTTCCCAGGGACGTCCAGGGAGGAAGGGGCCAGCCCGATACAAAATTGGGGGGGTGTACCATCGAAGAAGAATTTGCGACAGATGCACGCCACCCCACCAGGGGTCTCCGACGGGCGTCTTCACGAGCTTCACACGGGACAATCGAGCTTCATACGGGACAACGCTGTCCACCGCGCAACTGGCACTGCTGGCGCCGGTGGTCCTGGACACAACGTCCCGAACGGACGCGACCGACACGCCGACGCCGAAGGGCGGGGATGGCCCGCTCGATCAACGCACGGATCCGCGGGTCGGGGGCCAACCCCCGCCGTGAGCGGGACAAGATCATTTCTCATGTGCGTGTCGGGGGGGGCACAGGCTCTGGCCAACTTGATGGCTTCCTCCTGACTTCCCCCCCCCGCACTTCACGCACGGCAGGGGCCCACGCCCAGCCTCCCCGCTCCCGGCGCCGCGCGGCACACACAGCACGCAGGGGAGCGAGGCGCGAGCCCGGCACGGCAACCAGCCGGTGCCCGAGAGGGTCTCCCGTGAGGGGCTTCAGGAACGACGGGGCCCCAGGATAACCATTCATCGGCAGATTGCGGCACGAGGGCGCAAGCTTGAAACGACTCCAACGCCACGGATCCACCTGACTGTTGCGCCTTGACGGTCCTGAATCGTGCCAAGACACCCTTCCCGGGACTTCTCAACACCGCGAATCAACGTAGCTGTGGCACCTTGATAATCCGGAATCGTTCCCAAACAATGTTTGTGGTACGCTGATCATGGAAATCCGTGAAATGATTGCAAAGTCTTTTGTTATATCTATAAGCCAAAAAACGAATTCAAGCGGCGCTAAGGCGAGAACCACATTTTAGCAAGGAGCCGCCCCCCATCCGTGAAACTCTTGAAATGCTTAAAACAAAATTGCGCAGCGCTGAGGCGAGAGCCACTTTTTGAAAACCACCCGCCCTCAATCAGTGAAACTCTTGCATGGTTTAAAAACGCATGTGCGCGGCGCGAGGGCGAGACCAGCCACACTTTGAAAACGGCCCGCCATCAATATGTGAAACTCTTAACAAATTTTTGAAACGAATGTACACGCCAGTAAAGCGAGGGCCACGTTTTGAAAATCACCCGCCCTCAGTCCGTGAAACGATTGCCAATTTCAGGGCTATAAATGGTGAGGGATTCTCAGGCGAAACGCCCGGCCCGCCCTAAAAGCATCGTCGGGGTGCGACGGGGAGAAGTTACTCATAAGGAAAAGGAATGGAGGAGGGGAGGAGGAGGGTTGTAAAAAACACACGGTCGGGCTGCTGCCGAAGCGGGGCCCGATGGGGGGGCATCCTCGCGCGCGGCCTGCACGGCGGGCTCCATGGCCCGCGCGGCCGCGCTCCAGGAGAGGTTGCTGGCCCACTCGCGGGCCGACTCGTCCACGGCGGCGGGCATCGCCCGGGCGCGCGCGTCCTCCGCGCCGCTCCCAGGGGGGTGGGGCTGAAGACGGTCCTTCGTCTCCCCAGCTCTCTCGTCCCCCTCCTCCCTCCTTCATGCCTCTCCCCCTCTTCCTCCTCCTCCTCCTCCTCCTCCTCCTCCTCCTCCTCCTCCTCCTCCTCCTCCTCCTCCTCATCCTCCAACTTCTCCTCCTCCTCCTCCTCCTCCTCCTCCTCCTCCTCCTCCTCCTCCTCGTCCTCCTCCTCCTCCTCCTCCTCCTCCGCCATCCCTTGTGCTTCTAAATCTGCTACCGTGCCGCTGGGCACGGAGTGTGCGTGCCCTCAGGTCCTTTGCTCAATCCTCTAAGCATCTATCCTCACTCCTGAGGAGTCTTCCACGGGCCCAGAGCCCAAATTGCCAAATATATCGGGGCTTGTCGCGGTTCCCGCGGCTTGTCACATGACTTTGGGGGGGCCCCAGAAGGCTCCAAGATGGGTCAAGAGAGCCCCAAGAGACCCAAGATGGTCCAAGAGTGCTCCGAGTCGCCGAAGATCGCTGCAAGGCACCCAAGACGGTCCCAAGACGGTCCAAGAGGCCTCCAAAACACCCCAGAGGTCTCCAAGAGGCCTCCCAAGAGGACCCCAAGAGGCCCGAATCATTGATGTGACGTTGGTTTTTGAGGATGTTGGCGTTCTCGCATTTTCGGCTTCCCGACGCTTCAGGACGGCCCAAGACGGCCCCAGAGGCCCCGACGAGGGCCCCGAGAGGGCCCAAAACGCGCCCAAGACGGCCCAAGAGGGCTCAAAGACGGCCCCAAGAGAGGCCCCGATGGGGAACCCGAACGGACATTTCGAGCCCTCGGCCCCTTAGGGCCACCAGGACGTCCCAAGAGGCCTCCAAGAGGCCCCCAAGAGGCCCCCAACAGGCCCCCAAGAGGCCCCCAAACTGCTCCCAAGGGGCCCCCGAGAGCGCTCCGAACAGACCCGAAGAGGCAGCACCAGAAACTCTGAACCACAACCCAGGCACGGTAGCGGGATGGGCCGAAGGCCATCAGATGACTCGTCCCTGTCGCACCCAGAGGCGTGTCAGTAGGGTGTTTCGCCTCAGACTTCCTCAACATCTGTGATCTTAAAAAATGCGAGAGATTCACGGATGACGGCCGGTCCGATTTCAAAATGTGGCTCTCGCCTTCGCGCCGCGCGCATTCGACTTAAACAGTTGCAAAAGTTCCACGGATGATGCTCGGGCCGTTTTCAAAATGTGGCACTCGCCTGAGCGCCGCGCACATTCGTCCTACAGAATTGGAAGAGTTTCACTGATCGAGGGCGGCCTGCTTTCAAAATGTGCCTCTCGCCTTAGCGCCGTGCACGTTCGTCTCAAGCATGTGCAAGAGCTCCTCGGATGCAGGGCGGGCCGTTTTCAGCCAGGGGCTCCCAGCTTCGCGCCTCGCGCTGCGCGAGAGCGCGACGTGCGAACAACCTCGCGCTCTCGCGCCGCCTCCCAGGGGAGACGAGGAGTCGGAGGCCCACCGCGAGGCGCGACGCGCGAACAGCTTCGCGCCCTCGAGGGCGCCCCTGCTCGGGAGGCGGCTCTCGCCTCGGCCCCGCGCGCGCTCCTCCAAGACAAAGCGCAAGAGCTCCACGGGCGGAGGGCGGGCCGTGCTTCGACGTGTGCCTCTCGCCCTCGCGCGTCAGAGGGTGCTCCGGCACAGCCCGGGATGCTCAGACGGCTGCCTGCCAAGGGGGCACTCCCCTCGGTGGAGCAGCCACCCTTGCAGGGGGGGGCCTCTGGCGAGGGAGCTTGGAGGGAGGGCTTGCTGCAGTACCTTTTGATGAGTCTTGGGCTTACGCTGGTCCTCCTCCTCCTCCTCCTCCTCCTCCTCCTCCTCCTCCTCCTCATCTTGCTCCATCTCCATCTACTCCTCTCCCTCCTACCGGACCTCTTAAGACTCAACAAGAGCGACCCGCATTATGTTAGCGCCCGGTAGGCCCTTCCAGGGCCCAGGGACCGTCAACAGGATGCAGACCCACCTTCCATGGAAGTGTAAGGCGAGGCCAAGACGAGGAAACAGTCGAGCGAATATAAATCGAGAATCTCGGAGATCTGACGGCTCTGGAATGTGTCTCGGGCGCCGCGGGCTCCCTAGAGCGTTCTGGAACGCTCTGAGAGCGTTCCAGAACGCTCTGGAACGAGTGGATTCTCGTCCCAGCCTCGGAGGCGGCCAAGAGGGGGGCGTCCAAGAGGGGAGGCGCAAATACTGGCCGGCGGCATGCGCGCGGCCCAGGGCGGGTCCAGGAACGTCATGTAGTAAGAAGAGGCGCCATGAGACCTGAGGAAATATCATGGCCCACGCCGTGATACCCACCCCCCGTAGTCATCATCCCCCTCTTTGCCGCCCCCGATCCCAGCCCCGTCTGCAAGGGGGTCCAGCGGCCCGGGGCCAGCGGTGTAAGAGAATCGAAGCATCGGTCTCCGTGGGTCTGGGACCCCCCTTGCTGGTCCCATGGCAGGGCGGGGCGCTGCGCACAGAGGCCCCCTTCGGTGGCAACTCATGGGAGCCTCCCATACCATCCTGTCGGCTCTTGCGCATCGACGCTAAATCGACGCTGAGTCGACGCTGAGTCGACGCCAACCGACGCCAAGTCGGCGCTATCTCATCGACTCCCAGGCGCTGATCGACGCCAATAGACGCGAAAGACTACAGCACGAGGACACGCGAGGCTCCCACGGCTCGCTACCGGCACCCCCTGTGGAGGCAGCCCGGGAGGGCCCCGAGAGGAGACCGGGCTCCTCGAGTGCCTGCGGGGGCCTGGTGGCAAAGGGACGCCCTCCTGTCCGCTTCGGGCCGGCAGCGCAGCCCCTGCCGTTAGGTCGAGCATGTCCCCCCACAGGCGGATCTCGGACGAACAATGAAAAAAATACAAAAAAAACAAGATGGAAAATAGTAAATAGCAACAGCAACAGCAGCAGCAACAACAACAGCAGCAACAACAGCAACAGCAACAGCAACAGCAACAGCAACAGCAACAGCAACAGCAACAGCAACAACAACAACAACAACAACAACAACAACAACAACAACAACAACAACAACAACAATCATTTACCCGAACGCGTGGTGTTCTCCCCAGTGCCAGGGTTTTCATACGACGCCAGCAATACCCCCACTTCGTGGGGGGGCATTACAAGCTCTACCAAATATCCAAACGACTCTTCGCGACCACCCAAACCCAGCTTCCCGCCCTATGACGTTGGGACACTTCACTTCGTGGCGTGCGGACGACCGTGGCTACTACACTGGCGTGGGGTACACACCCACAGAACCCAATGGTTTTTGGAGATTTCGGCGTGCGCGCGCGAAGAAAAAACGAATGTGTCCCGCATGGTATTATTTGACAGGGATGATGGCCCTGGCAGGTGCGCAACCGTTGTCGCAGAAGTTCGAAAAAGTTGCTCGCAAAAGCCCGTTTGACAGAAATGTTTAAAAAGTGTTGGGTTTCCTACGAATCCGCAAGAGCGCGCGGGATGAGATTTTGACATTTTTTTGTTGAAAAACCATTGGTTTTTTGATGTTTTTATGTTAAAATCGCTCCGAACACTAAGCTTTTGGAAGGATTTCGTCTTGCGCGCGCGAATGTCCACTTTACCTTATTTTTTGCAAGGGATTCTTGAAATTTGATTATATTAGAACAAGAAATGTCATTTTATAGTGTTTTTTGCAAGGGAAAACGGATTACAACAAAACAACCGGATCTTGATCACTCGAATTACCTGAGGCTTCCTCACGAAAATGATGAAAACGTGGCTGCGGCCTAGGCGCGGCGGGGGGGGCGCGCACCAGGGGGCCCAACAATAATTATTCTTTAGAATTAATAATGTTCAACAACAACAACAACAACAACAACAACAACAACAACAACAACAACAACAACAACAACAACAAAAACAACAAACCAAACAAACAAACAAAAACAATGAAAAAAACAACAACAAAAACAACAACACAAACAAACAAACAAAAAACAAAAACACAAAAAAACAAAAAAAAAAAAAAAAAAAAAAAAAAAAAAAAAAAAAAAAAAAACACACACACACACCAACAAAAACAACAACAAAAAGTCCCCAGACTATCGTTTGACGATGTTTGAATATTCCTCCTGTAGAGGGACAGGCCCGACTGAGCCCTGCTGGCACGCTCGCAGCGGGGTGCGGAGCAGGGGGCAGGGCGCCCCAACAGCAAGTGGCGCCCAACAGAAACCGCCGCCGGCCGTCGTGGGGCGGGCGAGCCCTGTGCCTCGGAGGGACAGCGCCCGCGGCGACGCAGGCGGCGACTCTGGCTCGGAACGGCCAGGAGCTTACCAGCCTGGAACATATCCCTATCCCCACGCTAGACACCTCCTCACCACGATGCCAATCTTTAGGGATTCCGGGATTCCATGATCTTTTGAGGGCGCATCCCTGAGATTGTCGTCGCCTTTTGGCGTGTCAACCTTAGGGATAGGGATACGCTCGAGGCTGGTAAGGAGCCGCTGGCCGTCGCCCCCCGGTGTTTCCGCGCCGGCCCTGGACAGCTCGACCCCTGCTTCCCCCGGACCTGCGTTTTGCGCCGCGCCGCGTGTTTGCCCGCAACGACGGCCCCGTGGCCCGCGGGCGGCCCCTCTGGCCGCCCTCGACAGGGAAAGAGAAAAACTGCACAGGCAGAAGCTTTTGTGAAGGGGCCCAGGGACACACAAATAGATACACACAAATAAAAGGATTCCCCATAGTTTCCCATGTTTTCTGGGTTTCTGTCTTCCCCACCACTTCCCATATGTTGCCATATTTTCTGGGGAATCGACGATTAATTGTGTCTGTGTGTTTTCCCCCTCCTGATTTTGGAGGTCCGCGCGGGTGTTTTGGATCTGCGCTGAGGGAGCCAGGGGCGGCGCCAGAAGCGCCGCTACAGGAGGTCCAGTGCAGATCTAAGCAATCCGCGCGGACCGCCAAAAGTTGATGTCTGTGCTGGCTCCTAGTCTTTGAGGTGCTGCGAATGGCTCTGTGGCCCAGATACGGCCCCACAGACGCCCTCGAGGCCCCGAAACGCGCCCCGTCAGCATGAGAGCGGCAAGGGGATCTGCGACGGATGGGCCCCGAGAAAGCCTACAACGAGGGGGGACGAAGGCAAATTCACTCGAAACCCGTCCCCAGACCCCTCGGGGCCGATCAAACGGCCAGCTGCCCAGGCCGCGCCCAGCCGTGGCGACGAGGGAGGCCCTCCTCGCCCCCCTTCCGGCCCCCTTCGGGCCCGCCGGCACCTCCAGTGCTGGGCCCGCCTCCGCCCCCCAGCCAGCTCCGGCCCTCGGCCCCGCTCCCGCTCCTGCACGGCCTCGCTCATCTGCCGCGCCGCCAGCAGCTCGCGCGACGACATGCCCGCCGCCTCGCGCCGCGTGGCCAGCGACTCCTGCCGCGCCACTCGCGCCAGGGCCTCGTCGCCCAGCTCGCGCTGGCGCCGGGCGGTCTCCCTCAGCTCCTGCCGCCACTCCTGAGGGGCAACGGAAGGGGGAGGGGGGGACCAGCTCATGGGGGGAGGAGGAGGAGGAGGAGGAGGAGGAGGAGGAGGAGGAGGAGGCGGAGGAGGAGGAGGAAAGCATCGACCCGGAATCGGCGATGCATCGCCGTCAGACCGGCGATGGGCCCGCGGCAGCGAAGCCGCACGGCCCCGGGGCGGGGTGGGCCACCGGGCCCCCTATCAGCGATCGAGGAGCGATCGGGGGGCGATGTGCCCCCCACCCCTGAGCATAGCACCACAGGAGCCCGACCACAAGAAACCTTCCACGAGAAACCCAACCCTGAAACCCCAGGGCGTCCGCTGGCTTCTGGTACGCGAGCGTCACGCTTTCCACAGCAGAAGCATCGAAACCCAAGAAACCCGGGGCACCCTGGAGGCAGCAGGGTGTCTCTTGGCATGGGTTTCTGCTGCACTCGGTAGACGGAGAGCTCGGTCGATGCAGGAAAATGCCGCTGCCCTGCCACCCGCCCGCGCCATCCCGCGAGAAAGAGAAGAACCTCCTCCGAGGCAAAATGCACCCTGTTCTGGGCTGCGCCTGGCATCCAATGGCCTTCTCGCTCCAGCGAGGAGCCAAGCGGAGTGAGCCCCTCCTCCTTCTCCTCCTCCTCCTCCTCCTCCTCCTCCTCCTCCTCCTCCTCCTCCTCCTCCTCTTGGCATGGGTTTCCACTGTACCCCTCTGACGCTGCCCCGGAACACCTGCGCCTGGAAGGCGGCGCCGCCGCCGATCGCAGCAAACTCCTCCTGCGTCGCGCCCAGCACCGCCTCCGATTAACCAAATAAGGACCCCTAACCCTTTGGGAGGGGACCTAAGGTAGGAGGGCCAGAAACGTTGGGGATAGGGAGCCACTGCTGCAGATGTACCAGGCCCAACCGCCCAGACGTACCATCCCTGATGCGAAGACGGGAACCTCAGTGAGGCCACGTCTTCATCGTGTTATCAGGGTTAGGGGCCCTTTTGTTCTCAGTGCGCCTCGTACACGTACGGGTCCACGGCGGCGGCCCCGGGCGCGGGCGCCTGAGCCTCGTACACGTGCGGGTCCACGGCGGCGGCCCAAGGCGCGGGCGCCTCGTGGGCGAAGAGAACATGCTCGCTCGCACCCGCGGCCTCGCGGGCCGGGCCCCTGGGCTGCGACCCCGCGGCTGCGGGGCCTCTTCTCGTGGAGGCCCCGCGCGGGACGCCTCCGTGCGACCGCCCATGCACGCCACCGAAGACATGCATACACAGACACCCTCCGAGGAACTCTGTGCGTGTGCCTTCGGGGAGGGGACGGTGCACAAAAGAGTCGCTGGCCCTGGCGCTGGCCCTCGGTGCTGATCTGCACACCGGCTCCCTCCCGCGAGGCCCAGAAACAATCGATGAAGGGTGTCAGAGACAGAGGGAGGAACCAAACGCCGTCCGGGGCGTGGGTGGGCACGGGCACCGCGAGGAAAAACAACTCACGGGCGCAGCACAGTACAATAATTACAGAGGCCAAGCTTAGAGCCAGGAGGGTGCCTGCGTATTTTGTTTCGTGGCGGCGCACATCCGCGGGAGCGCGCCCCGGGACCCGGACCGCGGGGGCGCGGCTGCGGCTGTGCTCGCCGCTCTGAGAGGCAACGATTGGGGGGGAGAGGCATAGTGGGGGAAGCATCGACCTGGAATCCGCGATACGTCGCCGAGAGATCGGCGACATGCCTCCGATTTGGGATCCGCACTCTCCTGGGCAGGCTGGGGCTATCGGGCCCCTATCGGCGATCAGTGGGCGATTGGGGGTCGATGCATCCCCCCTGTGCCTATCCCCCCCAATTGTTAGGGAAACAAAAAGTGACGTAAGCATAAAAACTCGGAGGTCCGCGCGGACTTCTCGGATCCGCGCGGGACCCCCCGCCCCTGGCGCGCGGAGCGCGCCAGGGGCGGCGCCGGAGGCGCCGCCAGGGGGTCCCCAGCGCCGATCCGAGAAATCCGCGCGGACCTCCGAGTTTTCATGTTTATATCATTATCCGTTCCCCTAACGGAACGACCTGTGCGCGGCCCAGCGGGAGGGAGAGGGACGCCATGAAATAAGAAGAGGCGCCACGAGATCTGGGGAGACGCCATGGCCCCCGCCATGGTATCCACCCCCCCCATGGTCCCTGGGCGTCACCCCCCTCTCTGCCGCCCCCCCCCCTATCGTTGCCCCCGCCGCTCGCGGGCGCCGGCGCGACCGCCCCGGCGGGCGCCGGGCCCCCGGGCGCGAGCGAGAAGGCGGGGCCCGCCGCCGAGGCCGCGGCCGCCAGGCGGAGGCCCCGCGGCGGGCGGGCCGCGGGCGGGGCGTCCTGGCAGGCCGCGGCGGCGGCGGAGGCACGACCCCCCACGGCCCCCATGCCCGCTCCACTTCCTCGGCTTCCCTCCCTCTCTCTATCCCCTCCTCCCTCCCTCTCTCTATCCCTCCCTCCCTCCTCTCTCCCCTCCCTCCCCTCCCCTCCTCCCTCCCCTCCCTCCCTCCCTCCTCCCTCCCTCCCAACGGCCCCCATGACCGCTCCACCTCCTTTTCTACAGGGGGATCTTCGACGAAAAAGAGAAAGTTCCCCAAAAATACCCCAAAAAGGTTTTAAAAAAACTGAAAAAGTAGTCCCCAGACTAGTTTGGGACTATTTCTTGACTATTTTGGGGGGTGTTTTTGTTTTTCGTCGAAAGTCCCGCTGTAGGGGGACAGGCCCGACTTAACATATCCTCGGCTTCCCTCCCTTCTCTTCCCCTCCTCCCTCCCTCGCTCTCCCATCCCTCCCTCACAGGTACTCCACACGCGTGGGTCTGCTAGCTGTGCTACCGCAC